GAGCATACTGCTTTGAAATTGGTCCATCCTTTTGGACACCCGTCATATCTTGCTTGTCGTTCCCGACAGATCTGTCGTGCCTGACATGAGCCGTGCATGGTGACGTTCACCATACTACATTATTCTTGACAACAAATGTGTCTCTCTGTGCCTCAGTTCGAACCATTCCATCGTATCAAAATCTAGTTATAATATAACTGATTTTAAGGTGCATGGGTATGCCACGAGTCCTCGTCAATACCAAACTCCACTGGGAGTCATCATCTAGCCCCGTCAGGAAACACTTTCCTTTTCCAGACAACGAGTACTACTTACTTCCAATAAGATTCATCTAATAGGTATATTTATAATACTATGAGAGGAGCTACTTGTTACAGCCCCATACGCTTAGGTCACAGTGGTCACTGTATTTGTGGTACAGTGGTCCTATTATTTATTGTCAAGTTATATATTTGGACACAGTGTACACTACCATTTATGTACACATGGCATCAACGCACATATTGGTCACATGTCAACTATGTATTTCGTGTCACAGTGTAACAACAATTTAGACTAGCATTGGTCACAGTGGTCACTACCATTGTGGTCACAGTGGATCACACCAATTGTGGTCACAGGGTCACATACGCATGTGGTCACAGTGTCCTACGCATTTGTGGACACGAGTGGTCACTACGCTTTGTGGTCACAGTGGTGCACTACGCCTTTGTCACAGTGTCACTACGTATTTGTTGTCACAGTGTCACTACGCATTTGTGGTACAATGGTCACTACGTATTTGTGCACAGTGGTCACTCCATTTGTGGTCACAGCTGGTCATAGTATTTGTGTCCGTGTCACTCGCATTTGTCGTGCACAGTGGATCACGTACGCATTTGTGGTCACATGTCACTACGTATTTGTTGTCACAAGGTCATCGCATTGTGGTCACAGTGGTCACTACCATTGTGTCACAGTGGTACTAAGCAAATGTAGGTACAGTGTCACTACCATTTGTGTAAAGTGGTGCAGTATTTGTGGTACATAGGAGTCACTACGCATTGTGTCACGATGGTCAAACGCCATTTGTGGTCACAGTGTAACCCGTATTGTGGTCACATGGTCACTACGATGGTCCTACAGTGTACTACTTACCTTTGTGTCACAGTGGTCATCTACTATTGTGTCACATGTGTCACTAACGCAGATGGTCACAGTGTCCACTACGCATTTGTGGTCACAGTGGTCACTACGCATTTGTGGTCACAGTGGTCACTACGTATTTGTGGTCACAATGGTCACTACGTATTGTGGTCACATGGTCACTACGCATTTGTGGTCACAGTGGTCACTACGCATTTGTGGTCACAGTGGTCACTACGATTTGTGGTCACAGTGGTCACTACATTTGTGGTCACAGTGGTCACTACGCATTTGTGGTCACAGTGGTCACTACGCATTTGTGGTCACAGTGGTCACTACGCATTTGTGGTCACAGTGGTCACTACGTATTTGTGGTCACAGTGGTCACTACGCATTTGTGGTCACAGTGGTCACTACGCATTTGTGGTCACAGTGGCCACTACGTATTTGTGGTCACAGTGGTCACTACGCAGTGGTCACAGTGGTCACTACGCATTTGTGGTCACAGTGGTCACTACGCATTTGTGGTCACAGTGGTCACTACGCATTTGTGGTCACAGTGGTCACTACGTATTTGTGGTCACAGTGGTCACTACGCATTTGTGGTCACTACGCATTTGTGGTCACTACGTATTTGTGGTCACAGTGGTCACTACGTATTTGTGGTCACAGTGGTCACTACGTATTTGTGGTCACAGTGGTCACTACGCATTTGTGGTCACAGTGGTCACTACGCATTTGTGGTCACAGTGGTCACTCGCATTGTCACAGTGTCATAGCATTTGTGGTCACAGTGGTCACTACCCATTTGTGGTCACAGTGGTCACTACGCATTTGTGGTCACAGTGGTCACTACGCATTTGTGGTCACAGTGGTCACTACGTATTTGTGGTCACAGTGGTCACTACGCATTTGTGGTCACTGGTCACTACGCATTTGTGGTCACAGTGGTCACTACGCATTGTGGTCACAGTGGTCACTACGCATTTGTGGTCACAGTGGTCACTACGCAATTGTGGTCACAGTGGTCACTACGCATTTGTGGTCACAGTGGTCACTACGTATTTGTGGTCACAGTGGTCACTACGCATTTGTGGTCACAGTGGTCACTACGCATTTGTGGTCACAGTGGTCACTACGCATTTGTGGTCACAGTGGTCACTACGCATTTGTGGTCACAGTGGTCACTACGTATTTGTGGTCACAGTGGTCACTACGCATTTGTGGTCACTGGTCACTACGTATTTGTGGTCACAGTGGTCACTACGTATTTGTGGTCACAGTGGTCACTACGCATTTGTGGTCACAGTGGTCACTACGCATTTGTGGTCACAGTGGGGCCTGTGCTACCCTCGCTATAGTGTATCAATATTCCTAGTTGGATGAATCTTACTGTAGCCAGCTGTCCCAGTGGCTTAGGCGATGGTCTAAAGTTTTACGACCCACTTGCCATGAGTTCAATCTCCTCCCGTGGTATGGTTTGGGTAATTCCTTGGAGTATTTTCTACGCCGCAATCATGTCTCCCCTTGCCCACCTCTAGAGTCGTCAGATTCAGTTGCTTGTCTCTTCTCACAATGTGCTTCCTAGGCTTTGGGACTAGTCTGCCTGCAAATCTTTGACCTTTCTCAGTTTTCCGAAAAAAATGGATAAGCGTTAAAACCGTAAGGGAGGAATTGGAACCAATGAGGTTTAATCTTGGATCAAGAGCCCTTCTCATTTCAAACCTCCAACATCTGCTGAAGAGGGCCTCATCACGTGACTCAGAACGGAGGTGAAACAAGAAACAAAAGCAAATTATCCGTACTTTATTAATATCCGAAAAGATAACATAGATATATATACATTATTTACATCGAAAAAAAAATATATATTTTTTGCTTTCCATGAAAATGCAAACTATTCTAAATTATTTTTGAAAAAAAAAAAAAAAATTCCACATCGATCAGTGGACAGATTAAGAGATCAAAGTTAGAAACTTATACAGATTTCTAAGTTAAAGACTTTGAAGAAATTTAGAAAGGTCTTAATAACTTGCTATAGTGATGGTTATACCTGGAGTTTACCTGGAGAGAGTTCCGGGGGTCAACGCCCCCGCGGCCCGGTCTGTGACCAGGCCTTCAGCTGTATAATTCCTTGAAAATAATTATTTATAATAATAACAAAAATAATAATAATAATAATAATAATAATAATAATAATAATAATATAAATTAATATATTAAGGATAATAATAATAATTAACATAATAATAATAATAATAATAATAATAATAATAATAATAATAATAATAATAATAATAATAATAATAATAAAAATTAATATATTAAGGATAATAATAATAATAATAATAATAAATAATAATAATAATAATAATAAAAATTAATATATTAAGGATAATAATAATAATAATAATAATAATAATAATAATAATAATAATAATAATAATAATAATAAAAATTAATATATTAAGGATAATAATAATAATAATAATAATAATAATAATAATAATAATAAAAATTAATATATTAAGGATAATAATAATAATAATAATAATAATAATAATAATAATAATAATAATAATAATAAAAATTAATATATTAAGGATAATAATAATAATAATAATAATAATAATAATAATAATATATAATAATAAAACAGGTCAGAGACCTAAATTTCCCCAATGAAAAATATATAAATGGTAATAATAATCAATTATTTATTTGACACTAGAAAATAATTCTAAATATATTATCATCAAGTTCTGAACGTGTGTGTAGATACCATCATTCTAAAGTCAAGTTCTGAACGTGGGTGTGTAGATACCATCATTCTAAGGTCAAGTTCTGAACGTGTGTGTGTGTAGATACCATCATTCTAAAGTCAAGTTCTGAACGTGTGTGTGTGTAGATACCATCATTCTAAAGTCAAGTTCTGAACGTGTGTGTGTAGATACCATCATTCTAAAGTCAAGTTCTGAACGTGTGTGTGTGTAGATACCATCATTCTAAGGTCAAGTTCTGAACGTGGGTGTGTAGATACCATCATTCTAAGGTCAAGTTCTGAACGTGGGTGTGTAGATACCATCATTCTAAGCTCAAGAGAATTTAATGGTTGAGTGTTAGTAATCAAATACTGTGGTGAGGCAGAGACTTATTTGTTCAGTTAGGCTGTTTGTGAGGATTGTCTAGAAAAACAGGATGAGTAGTAGACGTCTTGAAATGGGTTTAAAGGACGATCCAATGCTTTATATTTGACTACAGGAGAATCCAACACCTTATATTTGACTAGAAGGAGAATCCAACACTTTAAATTTGACTAGAGTAGAATCCAACACTTTAAATTTGACTAGAGTAGATTCCAACACTTTTAATTTGACTAGAGGAGAATCCAACACCTTATATATGACTAGAGAAAAATCCAACACTTTAAATTTGATTAAAGGAGGATCAAACCCTCTAACAAGAGGGTTCGATACGTTGAGGCCAGACAAGATCCAATACTTTAAAATAACTCTATGGATAAGAGAGAAAAGGTTAAGGGAGGTAAATCCAAGACTTTTCAGGTGAATTTAGAGGACTGATAGACAAGGAGAGGATTGAATACCCTAAGAGGAGTCTGCAGCAAAATTATTATTACTGTTATGATGATGATGATACACACACACACACACACACACACACACACACACACACACACACACACACACACACACACACACGCACACACACACACACACACACACACACACACACACACACACACACTGAACGTAGATCCGCCTGGTAGATAGATGAACATTTTTTTTTTACGAAATGGAATCTTAACATGATTTACAAGGTAAAATTAATTTTTTTTATAACACTGAATGAGAATTTTCTGGTTAAATGTAAATGAGAATATTGCTATTTACAACACTTACAGCGAGGAGGTGCCAGGTGTATGACTTGTGTGCAACGTGTAGGATCAGGTGGTGCCAGGTGTATGACTTGTGTGCAACGTGTAGGATCAGGTGGTGCCAGGTGTATGACTTGTGTGCAACGTGTAGGATCAGGTGGTGCCAGGCGTATGACTTGTGTACAACGTGTAGGATCAGGTGGTGCCAGGTGTATGACTTGTGTACAGCGTGTAGGATCAGGTGGTGCCAGGCGTATGACTTGTGTACAACGTGTAGGATCAGTTGGTGCCAGGCGTATGACTTGTGTACATGATGTAGCATTAGGTGGTGCCAGGCATATGACTTGTGTACAACGTGTAGGATCAGGTGGTGCCAGGTGTATGACTTGCGTACAACGTGTAGGGTCAGGTGGTGCCAGGCGTATGACTTGTGTACATGATGTAGCATTAGGTGGTGCCAGGCATATGACTTGTGTACAACGTGTAGGATCAGGTGGTGCCAGGTGTATGACTTGCGTACAACGTGTAGGGTCAGGTGGTGCCAGGCGTATGACTTGTGTACATGATGTAGCATTAGGTGGTGCCAGGCATATGACTTGTGTACAACGTGTAGGATCAGGTGGTGCCAGGAGTATGACTTGTGTACAACGTGTAGGATCAGGCGGTGCCAGGCGTATGACTTGTGTACATGATGTAGGACCAGGTGGTGCCAGGCGTATGACTTGTGTGTAAGGTGTAGGATCAGGTGGTGCCAGGCGTATGGCTTATTTGCAGTACATAAGGTTAGGAGGTGCCAGGAATAAGATGTGTGGATGTGAGCGGTGCCAGCCGTACCAAGTGCGGGGGTGGGGGGTAAAGAATGATGCTGCCAGATATGAATCGTGAAGGAAAAAGCTCTTGCTAAAGAATAATGGCATGGAGATGGGCAGCCATGGGCGTAAAACACAAAGATGTGGAAGGTGCTAGGGGTACGATGTGTGGGCTTGAGAGATGCCAGACGTAGGATTCATGGGCTTTGAAAGGCTTGATAGCGTGGGCGTGAGCAGGGAATCCTCGTGAGGGTTTAGTGGGCGGCCTGAGGGTGTGTGTGTGATGGGTGGGCGTGGCGGAGCTCGGCAGGCACGCCCACAATGTCAATTTCGTCTTCGAAGTCAGAGTGGGAGAGGTCGCTGTCTCTGGCAGTGGTAGTACACGGCGACACCGCTAGAGGGCAGAGGTGAAGCTTGTGTTAGAGTTATCGTACTGCAACATGACGCTGCTGACTAACATAAACAGTATCAGTACAAGGAGGAATTTATCTTAACATATACACCATAGGATGTATAATCCTCTATATACACATTTCTCAGTAAATATACACTGATATATACACCTCTAAGTTTATACAGTGACACATAAACCTGGTAAGAGGTCAACAATATATATACATATATAATATATATATATATATAATATATATATATATATATATATATATATATATATATATATATATATATATATATACATACATGTATATATTACACAAGAATCGCGAGCAAGCGATACAAGAAGCATAACAGCCACAGAGGGAGTTGAATAATAGCTCTAGGCCTTTCGTGTTGCGACCAACACATCATCAGGAGCTTGCAATGTTGCAGAAATGAGTAAGATTAACGAGAAACCATTTAGAGAATATAAAATTAATGAAGATTTTCCTTAAGGGCAAATCACAAAAATGTAAGAGAGAAAAAGGCAAAAGCTCTCGATCCGTGGAATTGGAACTAACCTTTCCCCCTCCCCCCATCTCCCACAATGCGCCTGCATGGCCCTTACGGGTTTAGCTCCTCTCCAGGAATGATTGTGCTCTGTCTTGCACGCAGTTTGGTATCTTTATTCCGAAACGTTGCGCCTACTCAGTAGGCATCTTCAGTCGGAAGTAGTGGAGATGCAAAGACGTAGTTCCGAGGTGGTCAGTCCCTCAGCCTGGAGAAGAGCTCTGTTCCATAGTCTGGAACAATGTTTCATAGTCTAGAACAATGTTTCATAGTTTGGAACAATGTTCCATAGTCCGGAATAATGTTCCATAGTCTGGAACATTGTTCCATTGTCTGGAACAATGTTCCAGGCTATGATAGCTGAGGGACTGATGACCTCGAAACTACGTCTTATGCGGGGTAATGGACTGATGACATCGTCTGTAAATCTGTACTACTGCTTCTGCTGCTGCCTCCTCCGCATTCGACTGACGAAGCCTGCTGTGCAGGCGATACGTTTCGGAATAGAGATCCTTGACTGCTGCATATATGTAACTTATCAACCTGTTGTTATTGTATACCATTCCAGTACTTACCTTCAAGAGGTGAGCCTGGAAGAAGCTGGGAGCTCACCAGCTGCTGCTGTTGTTGTATCGTTGGCTGCTGTTGCTGTTGCTGTGATTCCCCTTCCGTGCTGCTGCTGCTGCTACTGCTACTGCTGCTGCTACTGCTGCCTGCTGCCTTGTCGTCCGTGTGTTTACGTAATTGTTTCTTGTGTTTCATTCGCCGGTTTTGGAACCAAGTCTTCACCTGGAAACGCAAGGAAAGCAGCTGCTGGAACAACGTTGGGAAATACCAGCTGGAACCATACTGGAAAGTACCCGCTAGAACCACATTGGAGAGTACCTGCTAGAATAACACTGGAAATCACGCAATCCCCCCAGCCTCACCTGCGTCTCGGAGAGGTTGAGAGAGGTGGCCAGTTCGACTCTCTCCGGGGTTGAGAGATATCTCTGGGCCGCGAACCTCTTCTCCAGCCCCCCCAGCTGATGGTCACTGAAGACGGTGCGGGCCTTTCGTCTTCTGCAAGCCTTCAGGGCACCCTCGCTTCCCCCAAAGAGGCTTCCAAATCCCAGACCTGGAAAACAAACCCCCATGAGATAAAGAAAGGTTTTAGTGGAAGCCTCTCCCTCAGTCTCTGACTTTCTTGCTTTCTCTCTCACCTGCTCCGGGGAAGAGAAAGTGTGCTTCCGGCTTGTGCAGGTATGGGTGCGGGTGAAGGTAGGCGGCCGCAGCTGCGGCTGCGGCTGCTGCAGTAGACGGCAGGACTCCTGCGGCTGCGGCAGCTGCGGCAGCATAGGACTCTGTGATAGACGCCCTGACCATAGACGTACTGACGGAGGTCAGGTCACGAGAGGTCTGCAATGTAGATAATTATAATAGTAATAATAACTACAATTTTATTATTGTATATTATTATTATAGTTGTAATATAAATAAATTATAATATCATTATCTATTATTATTATATATTGTATTATTATAATTATTTCTTATGCATTATTGATTATATTTATCTGGTAATAAATCTAGATTTAATGGCAATTTAATGATGAGAAGCAGTACTAGAGAAGGAGAAATTGAGAGAGAGAGAGAGAGAGAGAGAGAGAGAGAGAGAGAGAGAGAGAGAGAGAGAGAGACTCACCACAGGGTAGAGGTGTGAGTTAAGTCTGGTCCAAGGACTCCCACCATCCTCACTATAACCATCGTCACTGCACGTTTCGCCCCGTCCACCTCCTCGCTGTCAGAGAAACATCAACTCAATAATTACATTGTAATGTCCTATAACTGCGATCACAGACTCCCTAATTACAATGATAATAACAATAAAATCAATAACTACTACTGTTTTGGTTGGCTGGTTAACGGAGTTTAAAACCTGTCGACTACACGATGATCATTAAGACCTAAAATAAGGATTAAAGTAAACTTTATATATATATATATATATATATATATATATATATATATATATATATATATATATATATATATATATATATATATATATATATATATATATATACATATACATATATATATATGTATGTATGTATGTATGTTAGTCACTGCAAGATTTGATGCAGGAAGACCGTGGTCTTATATCTCTCACGCAGTGATCACAGGCCACGAGATAATTACAGAGGCAGGGGAGAGGACGTCGGGGGAGTGTCAATTAGGCACAGATTATGAGGTGGCATTATGTTAGTACCACCATGACGACCGTGGGACAACACCACCTGAGCGCCACAACCCACTGGGGAGAGAGAGACGTGGGTGGGGGAGATGAACAAAAGAACTTGTGATGGGTTCTTAGAAGCTATGCTACTATATTTTCTTATTATTTCTGATTTTAATTACACGCAGAGGAAACGAAATATCCGAATATGATATTAAATATGGTATATGCAATAATTTTCTGTGTCAAGTGTGGAGGAGAAGGCAGGGGAGGAACTGAAAGAATCAGGGGGCGGTAACCCGATGCGAAATCAATGGGCCTTACGCCACCACGTGCGGGGCGCCATTCACTCAGAACTACAGTTAATTGACAGATAACGATTAAGCTGCCCAATGTTTGCGAACTGGTAATTAAATGGGGATTCCCTTTTTTTGTACGTTTGATGAGTACAGAGACTGAGGTGATTGTTAGAGGGGTAACTTAACACGATCACTCACAGGCGCACACCTCCACTTAACTCTCCTGGTAAAGCAACAAAACTGAGTTTTTTAAGTCATTGTGCCTCAATTCTTAACATAATTAAGGTCAAACCATCTGCATGGCAATTCTGTGGTAAGTAGTTTTTATTATACAAATGGGTTTTGAAGCCTATTGAATATACCTGCTTCAGAAGGTTGCAAGTGACCTGTACTCCTGCTGTCGAGAATATTTAAATCCCTTAATACAAAGGATTGCAACAATCTCTCACTACTTATACATCCTCCGGTGTATATACAGAAATATATTTATTACACATATAACCTGCATATAACAGAAACAAACTTATAACGTACTATTGACAAGTAACACACAATACTGCGTACTGTTCCACTCACAGTACTGTGCTATTTTCTTCCTGTATATTCATTACGTTAGGTCAGGTTTGTCATGAAGCAGGAAAAGTGTTTCCTGAGACGGGTCTCATGACCCGCAGCTGGGACTTTCGGTCATCTGACCGAGGCCTTCCACTGGCTTGCCGGTCCACCCCTTTAATAACTGTAATTATCTCTATCTCCTATATATTTATTCTTTGCCTTGATAATGAGTGTGACTGAGGACCCAACCTAACTTTATGTAAATAGTTACCGAGTCCTGTTTTACAAGCTTAACCAAATGTAGCCCAGTGTAAATTACCATGTATACCTCTCTATATGGCAGGATACCTGTCAATGTATACCCCTCCATATGGCAGGATACCTGTCAATGTATACCTCTCCATATGGCACGATACCTGTCAATGTATACCTCTCTATATGGCAGGATATATGTCAATGTATACCTCTCTATATGGCAGGATATCTGTCAATGTATACCTCTCTATATGGCAGGATATCTGTCAATGTATACCTCTCTATATGGCAGGATACCTGTCAATGTATACCTCTCTATATGGCAGGATACTTGTCAATGTATACCTCTCCATATGGAAGAATACCTGTCAATGTATACCTCTCTATATGCCAGGATACCTGTCAATGTATACCTCTACATGGCAGGATACCTGTCAATGTATACCTCTCCATATGGCAGGATACCTGTCAATGTATACCTCTCCATATGGCAGGATACTTGTCAATGTATACCTCTCCATATGGCAGGATACCTGTCAATGTACACCTCTCCATATGGCAGGATACCTGTCAATATATACCTCTCCATATGGCAGGATACCTGTCAATGTATACCTTTCCATATGGGAGGATACCTGTCAATGTATACCTCTCCATATGGCAGGATACCTGTCAATGTATACCTCTCCATATGGCAGGATACCTGTCAATGTATACCTCGCCATATGGCAGGATACCTGTCAATGTATACCTCTCCATATGGCAGGATACCTGTCAATGTATACCTCTCCATATGGCAGGATACCTGTCAATGTATACCTCTCCATATGGCAGGATACCTGTCAATGTATACCTCGCCATATGGCAGGATACCTGTCAATGTATACATCTCCATATTACTTAAATCAGGATAACAGTATTAAATCTCAAATACACCTTCGCAGAGTCTTGAGATCCACTTACAACACTCACTGGTATCCCTACATACCTCAGCATATACATTTCTTCCATCATACTCTTTCTGGTTTGACAACATGCCCATACACTCAGCCCCAGGCCCAGACTCGTGGAACTCTGTGTTCATTAAGAACTGCAAGAAACCCCTCTCACGGGCCCTAAGTACACTATGGAGAAGGAGCTTAGATATGGGTGAAATTCCACAGTCACGTCAAACAACGGATATACTCCCACTCCATAAAGGTGGCAGCAAAGCATTAGCTATGAACTATAGACCAATAGCTCTGACGTCCCACATCATAAAAATCTTTGAAAGAGTGGTAAGAAGCAGGATTACAAACCATCTGGATTCCCAAAAAACTGAACTGTTCAGCAGCCTCCCACTGAGAATAAGGGGAATTACCAATAAACCCCTGACTGCGTGCGGCCAGCAGTAACAGCCTGGTTGATCAGGCCCTGTTCCACCGGGAGGCCTGGTCGTGGACCGGGCTGCGGGGGCGTTGATCCCCGGAATAACCTCCAGGTAGACTCCAGGTGGTTCTCTGAAGATGGTATTAGTGTGAGGCCGAAACATAGTGTAAAGTACTCCCGCCCTCTCTCTCTCTCTCTCTCTCTCTCTCTCTCTCTCTCTCTCTCTCTATATATATATATATATATATATATATATATATATATATATATATATATATATATATATATATATATATATATATATATATATATATATATATATATATACATACATACATATCACTACATGTGGGACTTAATTTATTCTTAATTACATAGGGTGAAACAAACAAATGTAATATAATAGATGGTAATGCTTGGAGTAATTAATGGTAACCATTACTTGTTTTCCCATGGTACCATCATCACTAACTACCATTCTCTTCTCTCCCCTCCTCTTGCTTCCTATCACCACGCTAATAGCCACCTCCTCGTCCTTATCTTCCCCTCATGTAGGGCAGGGGGAGTGAAGGAGGTGGTGGGGGGATGGTGGGGGGGATGGTGGGGGTATGGTGGGGGGAGTAAATAGGAGGGATGTAGACAGGAGGAGGAGGAGGTGTCTGGTTACCATGGGAACTCCTCCTCCTCCTACTACTGCTACTGAGATCTTTCTCTCAGTGGAATCCCCTCAAGGAAGGCTCCTTGATGTTGGTGAGGGGCTCTTGATTTAGGGAATTGGATCTGTGCTCCAGTTCCCCGAATTAAGCCTGAATGCCTTCCACATCCCCCCCCCAGGCGCTGTATAATCTTCCGGGTTTAGCGCTTCCCCCTTGATTATAATAATAATAATAATCTCTCAGTGGAATACATGGGAAAGAGTTTTACGGCTTCTGTCGTAGGTTATCTGTTGAGGAGAGTTACATTACCGTCTAGCTATCGTAACTTTGTATGTGTGTGTGTGTGTGTCTGTTCACGGAAGAGGAGAAATAAATCAGAAGGTTCTCTCCCCACTCTCCTATACACTAGTGGAATATGAAGCTAAGTAAGTGAGGAATACTGAGTGCACACATACTAGTAGGGAGAGCACAGTGTAGTTATGGTAGTAGTGTTACCATTACTAACATAACTCAACCCAAGTCAACCACCATAAACACCTAAAGTCAGCACCTGACGAGCCAGGGTGTGGTTCGTACGTCGGTTTGCCGGCGGCCAGCAGTAACAGCCTGGTTGATCAATCCCTGATCCACCACGAGGCCTGGTGATGGACTGGACAGCGGGGGCGTTGACCCCTGGACCACCCTCCAGGTGTAACCCCCCCCCACTAAACTGCTACATGTACTGAAGAACTCTCTACTACCAGTCCAGGAACCTTTTTAATATTCCTCTAAATAACAAAACCCTATTTTTGAAATATAAGAGATATCTTAAGTCATGGCTTAGCTAAGGTTAGGTTAGGTTAGGATAGGTTAGGTTAGGTTAGGTTAGGTTAGGTTAGGTTAGGTTAGGTTAGGTTAGGTCAGCTTAGGTTAGGTTAGGTTAGGTTATGTTAGGTTAGGTTAGGTTAGGTTAGGTTAGGTTAGGTTAGGTTAGGTCAGCTTAGGTTAGGTTAGGTTAGGTTAGGTTAGGTTAGGTCAGGTTAGGTTAGGTCAGGTTAGGTTAGGTTAGGTTAGGTTAGGTCAGGTTAGGTTAGGTCAGGTTAGGTTAGGTTAGGTTAGGTCAGCTTAGGTTAGGTTAGGTTAGGTTAGGTTAGATTAGGTCAGCTTAGGTTAGGTTAGGTTAGGTTAGGTTAGGTTAGGTTAGGTTAGGTTAGGTTAGGTTAGGTCAGCTTAGGTTAGGTTAGGTTAGGTTAGGTTAGGTCAGGTTAGGTTAGGTCAGGTTAGGTTAGGTTAGGTTAGGTTAGGTCAGGTTAGGTTAGGTCAGGTTAGGTTAGGTTAGGTTAGGTCAGCTTAGGTTAGGTTAGGTTAGGTTAGGTCAGGTTTAGGTTAGGTCAGGTTAGGTTAGGTTAGGTTAGGTTAGGTTAGGTTAGGTTAGGTCAGGTTAGGTTTA